GTGTAATTACACATAGCATCATCAAGCCCAGCGGTTGCGTTATCAATCAGGTGGTGCAAAGCAGGCAATTCGAGCATCATGTCCAAATTGATGTCGACCTCCTCTGGAGCTACTTCGAATACAGCGAGAGCATCGTCGACGCCGAGGTCTTCGCCGTCGCCAACGTCCTCGAAGACGCACTCTTCTAATCTGGCGTCGGATGGATCATCCTCGATTGGCTCCTCCCAGACCGAGTCGCCATGCTCATGCGATTGTCCTTCCAGCTCCTCCAGCAGTGACTTCACAATGTCAGGTGGCGTATCAGTAAAATATGGAATGAGTCTTTGCGATGACATCGGCTTCACTCTGCTCAGGAATCTCTCCACACCGTAATCCGACATATTCACAATAATCTCGGAAAACCACTTCGCCAAAGAAGTATTCGAGAAATGCTCTAAGCGAGCTGCATGAAGGAGAGTGCAATACTTTTGGGCAAAGCTGCTTCTGCCGAAACCCACGCACACCGCAGGGAGCGCGTGATCTGATATTCCACGTCGGATGCAGTCCATGATCTTCAGTTCTTTGTCGTACCTGTCGTGGTCCATCAAGGCGTTGACGTCGGCGTCCTCGTCAGGCCGCCTGTACCACAAATCTTCTAATTGAAGAAAGGCCTCGTGCATGGCAGGGACGTCCACTTGTGGAATCGACCGCACAATGCACATGACATAATCGCGGCCATGCTGTGGAGATGAATCCCAACTGATATACCGAACAAAAACTTGTTTCGATGCTAACTGCTTCCAGTGTTGCACCCTGTACCACGTCATCAAGGACACATCAGCGGTGAGGCGAGCTCGACTTATATCAGATTTTGTCGGAGGCGGTTGCTTCCTCAGGTCTTCGATCATGCCTCTAGCGGCGTTCGGCGGGAAAAGAATCTCGCGCGATCGTTGCAACGCCGCGCCCATGGTGTCAGAATTCCTCAAGTGCTTGGCCAACCTAAGGAAGCTCAGCATCTCACTGGCAGAACGCATCCGCTTGACAAAAAATCCTCCGCCAGGCCGTCGCAAGTGCGTCTGCTTCATCAGCGCAATCCACTTCGACAGAAGCCCGAAGCTCCCTGGAAACTCTTGAACTGCGCGCTGCATTGAACTCATTACAGAACTCGCCATGGACGCGTCAAAAGCGCAGACTTCGACGCGTGGTGGCGCCTGATGGGGCGGGGCTGTAGCAGCGAAGCTCGCTTGAACTCTGCTACCAAACTTGCTCTGCAACCACTTCGGAGAACCCAGATACCCTGGACACCAAGGCGATGGAAGAGCAATGCTGCGATCACCACCTCCGGCGATAGAATTGCAAAATGGGAGTGGCACAACAAAGCCGAGCTTCGGAGATCGGCGCAACCAATTGCAGTCAGGGGTGAGGTTGAAGAGCTCTTTTGCTTCATCTGGCTGGAACCAACAATACGTCTGACACTTATGCGATTCCACAGCGAAAAGTTTCGAATGCACATATTGTTCCAACACTTGGAGTTCCAGTATGCTCCAAAACCAAATCTGATCCTCAGGGACACCGTGCGCGTCCCAGTAATCTGCATACCGCTGCTGGCAGGCATCTAAAGGTTTCGCGAAGCGGTTCTGAAATGCTGGCGAGACTCGGGCTGCAGCGATGACCCTCCCCGATGTCACCTCGCCATCGCCATCTGCTTCGAGTGAACGTTTCACCCTGTGCCGCCCCGAAACACCTGCCCAGGAGAATGGCCGAGCAGCAGTGCTTCTGAATTCGCGAGGCCCTGACACCAAGAAGACATTAATCATCAAACATACAAGCATCGAAGCTACATTCGGCTACAATTGGCTAGACATGCAACTTGAGCCACAGTGGACTACTGGCAGGCCCGAAGAAGAAAAAATGCAGACGGATGGGCGCTTCAATCTGAGAGGCGAAATGGGTTCTCGTTTGACAAGATGTTGACTCTGCTCTGCTCAAGACCATCATCGGGCACATTTTCGGGGCCTCTCGAAGTGCAGACGGGACCAGACTGAGTCGGTTTGCCAGAGGCTCAATATTTTTGCGTGTTTTGAATGTGATGCCGATCAGGGTCTCTTGGAGGCTCGTTTGGCGTGCTTCCGCAGACGCGGGCATTGAATCCTCCTTCTCCTCCATATCCTCCTCCTCCTCCTCCTCTTCCTCCTCCTCCTTCCTTTCTCTGTCTTGATGCGTGTAATGGACGCCGCGGAGGGGGGGGAAGATTAAATCCTCGGGCGGCAACTAAGGAGAGATGGGAAGAAGCTGACATGGAGAAAGATAAACAACGAAACGCAGAAAGAGGAGAAGACACAGGATGAAGGGAGGTGGTGATCTACAAAGAGAAGGATAATATGAGGTGTTGGAGGTTGGGAGGAGTTGGTCAGCTTCGGTCTGCACGCTGCTGGGCCCCAGCAGATGCAAAGAGCCCATTCACAAACCTACCAGCTGGGCCCACCTGGCGGCGCCTCCGGCGCCGCCCCTGGTGCGCTCCACGCGCCAGGGACGGGGGTCCAGCGCAGATCCAAGAAATCCGCGCGGAGCGCCAAGAGTTCATGTTTATGGCGTTTTTGCTCCTTTTCTATATGGGCACGGAAGGAATAGGCACGATGCCCAACAGCAGTTCCTGCTCATTGTGAACCGAGGTCGCTGTCCGCGCCGCCGCGGTCGTTTTGTCCATTTGAGACAAAGAGCCGCCTGCGCCCAACAGCGGCCGCTGTCGGTTTTGGCCAATGTTGTCGGGCATTGTACCTCTCTCGGCCGTCCACAAGGACGGGCCCGGCCAGGATCGGTGCATGTGCGCAGGAGTCCACCCTCCACGGTGCCTCAGGCGGGAAAACAAACACAGACACAATTAAACGTCGATTCCCCAGAAAAAATTGGGAAATATGGGAAGTGGGGGAGAAGACAGAAACCCCGTCGTGGACTTGCTTCCTGGGAGGAGGAAGAGGAGGAGGAGGAGGAGGAGGAGGA